AAAAAAAAAAAAGAAATGTCGGTTGATTTGCGATAAGTTTTTTGTTTTGTTGTTCGTTACAATTCGTAATGTGATAAAAGAAAACCGTTTATTTTAAAAAATAATAATAATAATTTCATCCTCGTCGTCGTCATCACCTCATTTCGACCCCCCATCATCGTCCCTCCCTCCTACTCCATCGTTTTATTTTTTAAAAATAAATGTTTTTGGTTTTGACATTCTCAACAAAATAAGATCAACAAAAAAAAAAAAAAAACTTTTTTTCTAACAACAATAATTCATACGATGCGACGCCATATTTGTTTTTTTATTATTTCTTTCCTTTTTGAATTGGTTAATTTACGAGTCATCAAGTTTAATATGTCGGTTTTTGTAATAAATTTAACTATATGAGGACTCATAGAGTTAATCAGTTTTTAGATGTAACCTTTTTCATATTTAACCTCTTGTTTGTCACAAAAAGGTAACAAAAACATCGGGAGCGAGATAGAAAATAGATTTGCACCATGCTGCTCCTCCTAACCCCTCCACTCATATTACCCTTTCTCTCTCTTCCCATTTTTATACTATTTCACTTTTCAAATGTTACGTCTGTCCGACCTTTCACCTTATTTTCACGTGATATTTCCGCCCTTTTCCACACATTCCCCCTCTCAAACCAAAAACAAATTAAATATGAATATCGGTCGTTTGTCATCATACGACATCATCGGATTTAATTTCCATCGTTAAATTTTTCCTTTCCTTCCCTCCTCCTCCCTCCTCCTATTTTTTACACGAAAACGTGTGTGTGTGCACACACACACACACGTGCAAGAGAGAGAGAGAAAAAATATAAAGAAAAATAATACGTGACTGATATTGAAACGTAATTAAAATTATAAATGATAACGACCATGAGGATTTTTAATTACCAAAAAAAAAATTATCTTAAATATTTCGTCCATTAACAAAAAAAAATAGCAGACGACGGAAATATAATTCTAACAAACGTTTCCTCATTCGTTTTTGACTTCGGGCCGCGTGGAATTAAATAAAATAAATTTCCGTAATTATATTAATAATAATGATAATAATAAATACGATTACGATTATTACCTTCTTTTGTTTTAATTTATATAAATTTTATTATTATTATTATTATTAACTGTATATGCGTGTGTGTAATTTTCTAATCTTTTATTATTATTATTATTAAATTAAAATATCTTTAATTTCCTGTTTGTTGCTCTGACGTTAAAATTTCCACCTAAAGTGAAAACCATTTAGAAAAAAAATTTTTTTTTTTTTTCGTTTTGTTTTCCTAACGGTTTTTATTTTATAGTACGTGAACGACAGCAAAAAAATATTTTATAACGTTTTTTTATATAGTTTACTTTTGCGCTATTTCGACACTTTCGAATTCTTTTAATTAAAAAAAAAAAAACCGAACGCGAACGCGAACGGTCGTCGTCGAACGTATCGAAAACAAAAAAAAATTTTTTTCATATAATTTTCACGCTTGCGCGTGCGTGTCCGTTCGTGGCAGAGAATATATATATATATATATATATATATATATATATATATATATATATATATATATATATATATATATATATATATATATATATATCGTTATCACATGCTATCTTTACGATTACATTATCAATTTTTATTTCGGTATGATGAGGAGAGGGGAGGGGGAAGGGGAAAAGGGAAAATTAATATTAAACTTTTGAAAATGTAAACCGACGTTTTACTTCCTGTGCGTATTTCAAACGCACACACACACATATGAAAATAAATAAATTTTAACTAAAAGTTCAACTTCCTTTTTTAAATAAGAAATTTATTTTAATAATTTTAATTAGTTACACGATTTTAATGTCGATCTTCGTCGTCATCGTCGTAATAACGACTCAATAAACGTGGAATTAGATTTTTTATTAATATTTTGAAAGCCATGTTTACTAAAAAATTTTTTCGTTTTGTTTTATCCAATCGAACAAACAAACAGAAAAAAATTATTAAATATTCACAACGAAATGATGAAAAATAAAAAAAATTGAAAATTTTCACCTACGTCATTTCCGGTCGCGAATCATCCGGTTTAATAAAAAAAATTTTTTTTTTTTTTTGGAGGAAAAAAAAAATTCGATAAAATTTTTAAAAATAAATTAATAATTATATTAAAAAACGATTCGGAATTTTTTTTCGGGGAGGAAACGGGAGGAGGAAGGTGTGGAAAACTTCTATTTACACTTTAAATTTTTTTTTCTGAACAAATTTTTATGTCATTGGTTAACGAAATTTTTTCTCAAATTTTTATAATATGATGAAAAAAATTTTCCATCGATTCGAATTTCCCCTTTTTTTTTAGTTTCTCTACTCCCTTCCCCCTCTCCTCCCCCTCTTAGAAAATTTCGTAATTTATTTAAAATTTAACTAAAATTTATGATTTTTTCATTTAAAAAAAAAAAAATTAATAAATATCCACACGCACGCACGCATTCACAAACGCAAACACGAAAGTAATAAATTAACGGTAATAAAATTAAAACCTCATTAAAATTTCTAATATTTCTATAAATTTCAAATATTATTATTATTTTTTTAACGGTTTTTATCCAAAAAATATAATCGGTATTCGTTAAAGAACCAAAACTAGAAAAAAAGGAAAAAAAAAAAAGGAAAACTTTTTTATCTCGACGCAACCTTTTTCTTTTGCCGACTCGACACTTTTTTTTCAAATTTTCTAAAAATGGCGCAAAGGAAAAAGAATTTTTCAAACTCGAAAAAAAAAAACTCCTGGACATAATTAAATGATAATTAAAACTTTATCAAAGGTATAAATTTAAAAATGACGTCATTAAAAGTTTTCATTAGTTTTGTCGGAAAATTCCAATAAGAGTGCGTACGTGGAATGGAGTGGAAAAAAAACAAACAAACCAGCAAACGATCCGCCCTTAAAATTTTTTATTTTTAATCAAGAAATATTTTAACGGTTATTGATGACGTCACATCAGAAAAAAAAAATTTATTTATTTTCAAAAATTAAAAACTAAAAAAAAATTAATAAATAAATAAATTTTCATTCGAATAATTTTTTTTTTTTGTTAAATTTAAATGTCAATAATACATTTTTGCCCATCAGTTACGTCATAATATTATACGTCATCGTTTTTATTACGAAATGGTGAAAAAACCCTAAAAACTATTATAGTAAAAGAACAAAGAAACAAAATTATAAATTAAATTTTAATAAATTTTTTGCGGTCTCATTTGATTGGTTAAAAATTTTGACCAATGAAAACGTTCCATTTTAATAAAAATACTTTTTTTACCATTAGTTGACCGTTTCTTTTTATGTTTATCAAACGGTTTAATAGGTTTTATTTATCGATTGATTGAAAACACGCGTAAAAAAAAAAATTCTTTTTTTTTAAATTTTTTGTAGGAAAATGAAGAGAGAGGAAGGAAGAGGGGGAGGGAAAGTAATATTTTCAATTACTTCCTCCTTCCCCTCCTTTTTTTTTAAAAAACTTAATTTTTAACCCCCAAAATAAAAATAAAAAATTTTTCCGATTAAAACTTTTTTTAGAATAAGTGGGTAGGGGTAGGAGGGAAGTGAAAGAAGGAGAGGGAGGAAAAGGAAGGGCGGAAATTGTATTTACAAAAGAAAGAGTAAAAAAAAAAAAATCAATAACTTTAAGAAATTTTCTTTTCTCATTTTCAATCAATCGGTCTCGTTTTTTTTTTTTTTTTTTTTGTTTCTTTCTTTAGGTTATTTTCTTTCGATTATTAATTTGTGTTATTTTATATTAATGTTGATAAAAAAAGAAAACTGGAGAAAATAAAGAAAATTGAAGAAGATGAAAAAGAAATAGAAGAAGAAGGAGGAAGTGGAGGAGAAATTTAAAAAAAAAAAAAAGAAATTGAAATTTTTTACTTTTTAAAAAGAAAAAAATTACTTTTAAAACAAATTATTATTATTATTATTATTATTATTATTATTACTTTTTATTTAAAAAATAAATAAATTATTCTGCGTAATAATTCAAATGATAAGATAATTCTGGAAAATTTTCAACATCTTTCAATTTTAATTCATCAATCGAATTTTTTTTTTCATCACTTCCAATCTTAAACGATTCGTTTTTAATTATTTTACCAAAACCGGAAACACTTTCCCCGTGTTCAATATTTTCATCTCCTTTTTTTTCTTCTTCTTTAACATTTTTTATAAATTTAATAATATTTTTGAAACCATTTTCTTTTTTTTTTGTCGATACGTTATTTGCCGGACTATTATTAGAATTTATTTCCGATTCTCATTTAAAAAAAAAAAAAAAAGAAAATTTTATTTATTTATTTTGCTCTGTCGTTGTTATAAATAATAATAATAATAATAATAATAATAATAATAATAATAATAATAATAAATTAAATTATATTATTATTTGATATTCCCTCTTCCCTTCTCTTCCCTCTCTTTCCACCTCAACAAACTTTTCATCAAATCCCAATAAAAACAAAAAAAAAAAAAAACGAAACAAAATTAAATTAAATTATAAACTTTTCATTTTATTATTATTATTTTTAATTACACGTCCCGACAGAATAATTTTTTTTTTTCCTGTTGGGAATATTACTCGTAACGTATAATAATTATCATTATCACTACAACTTCCCTCTTTTTTTTATTTATTTATTCTCTCCGTTTTGCGAATTAATTAATTGAATATTGTTTGTTAATAATAATAACAAAAAAACATTTATTACGTTGTTATTTTAAACAAATTTATATTAATAAAATTATTATTATTATTATTATTATCATTACTGTTATTACGAGAGAAAACAAGGAATATAAAAAATAAAAAAACTTACCGATCGTTTTACTCTGCGTCAATGCAAAAACTTTACTCTCCGATTTCACGTTCGAATTGTTCTGTCGTGGAAAAAGAAAACAAAAAAAAAAAAAAAAAAAAATTTTAAATAATTTCATCGCGTTCTGGGGGGTGGGGGTGGAGGGTGGGGAAGTGGGGGCGAAATCCCTGTCGCATACGTACTTTATTATAATTAAAATCTTTACGATTTGGATATAATGATTTAAATTTTTGTACGAAAGCGTTTCGATATTGTACGTTGCAAACGCAACGAAATATAAATATGAAAAGGCCCTGGAGTCCGTTTAATATAACAAAACAATAAGCACATTGATTGTAATGAGTAAATGCAAAACCAAAAAGCCAAGTTATGCCCAATAATGCGGCCAATGAAATCCAACCTTTTATCCACATCCTGTAAAAAAAAATAAAATCCAAAAAAAAAATATTAAAAAAATTTTTTCTCCTACTCCCTTATCCTCCCGCGTCCCCTTATACCCCTCCTCCCCTTCCTTTAATTTCGTTTTGTTTGTATTTTGAGAAAAACATGAAAAAAAATTTCTTTTTATATGTATATATTTATACCGAAAAACTAAGTAAATATTTGTTTATGAAAGAAAGCAACAAAAACATAATAACACAAATCGATAAAAAACAAAATCTTTATATTAAAAAAAAGGAACGAAAACCACGCATTAAAAATTAGAAATAATAATAATTATAATATCGTCATACTGATTATAATAGACTCGAACGGATTTCCTTCCACACCCTCCCAAAAAAAAAAAAAAAAAAAAAAAAATTAAAACACTAAAAAAAGTTTTAAAACAATATTGGCACACGATTTATTTAAAAAAAAAAAAAAAAAAAAAAAAAAAACACACTCGAAAAAACCCAACAATTAAGACCAACAACAACGAAAGAACTAATGGTAACATCAGTCTCAACACTAAACACGTGACGAATGGAAAAAAAAAAAATTTCCCCGTTGGCGGCAAACATCCGTTTCCAAATCGTAAATTTCCCCGCTTGACAAATAAAATGGCGTCGATTTTTAAATATTTCGCGGTTATTTTAACGAAATTATTATTATTATTTTTATTATTATTATTATTACCCACAATAGAAAAAAGGAAAAAAAGATTTTTTTTTGCACGTGGTATTGACACGTGTGAATTTGACATATTTAAAATTTAAAGTTTTTTTTTTTACAAGCAAATAGTTAAAGAGTAACGCGGTAACATGAGAATATAATAAGAATAATTTTTTCTTTTTTTTCCCCTCTCCTCCCCCATCGTTACCAAAATCTTATCGAATTTCTTTCTTTTTTTCTAGTTTCACAAAAATTTTTTATTTATTTTTCCAGGCATTGATAGGTTCAACCTTTTCTTACTCAAAAGGGGAAAGGGGAAGGGGGAGGGGGAGCAAACTCGAACAAACGCGAATTTGTTCTTTAAACAAAATAAATATATTTTAAATTCAATTCAACCGACTAATTAACAAACATATTTTATTTACACGTATGATAATTAAAATATAAAAAGACCCCATCATCAGATATGAATAATATAAACGATTAAGTTCTTTTTATTTCATTAAAAAAAAATTAATAGCACGAAAAGTTTTTCTCTTTTTTTTTTTTTTGTATTTTGTGTTCAGTAGGAAAATTATTATTAATTTTTCTTTTATTTTAAATAAATTTCGACCATTTTGTTTTTAATGACACAAACAAGGTCTTTTATTAAATATAAATAAACAAATAAATTAAAGTTAAAAAAAAAGGGTAGATTTTTCTTTTTATACAAACCTTTTGGCTCACTTCAATTAACCTTTTGTGATAAAATAATAATATACAATAAAAAAACCTTTCGAAGTAAAATTTTTTTTTAATTAAATTAAAAAAAATTTAATTTAATTTAATTTTTAATATTTCAAAATTTTAAATTTAAAAAAAAATGTAAGGTTTGTTTTAAATTTGACTTAAACACAATTTTTTGTTGTTGTTGTTTTTGTTATTTTTAGACACGTTAAAATTAAAACAGAAAATTTCTGGTTTTTATTTTTCTTTTTAAAACAAAACGATGATAAAAAAAACTTTTAAATAGAAAAGGATAAAATATATCTGTGAGAGAGAGAAAGAGATAGAAAAGTTACCAACATTAAAAAAAAAAAAAAAACTTACATGAAATTAGAAAAATTTGATTTTTCCGTTTTCAGTTTGCACTTGACGGCTAATTTAATGGCCATTACTAAAATGACAAAATTTATCTGGAAAAAAAAATAAAAAAGAAAATATATATTTTTTCTTTTCCTTATCATCAACCTTAAGCCTTATCCCCACCACCTCCACCACCCCCATTACCAGCACCATCATTTCTTCTCTTTTAATTCACATCATCACAAATATGTTTATTTTTCTTTCGTCCTCCCCAAAAAAAAAAATTTTTCTTTTTTTTCATATTTTCCCTTAAATATTTCGAAAAAAATCAAATATTGTTATTATTATTATTATTATCATCATCACTATCCCGCCATTATTAGCTTTTGAAACGGATTCGGGGGAAAAAAAAAACCTTTTAAACCTTTTTAAAAGGTTTATTTTCGCTCTGATAATTTTTTTTTTCAGCCTTCTCTCCCTCCCTCCCTCTTCCTCCCCTCTCTGGAAAAATGGAGAGTGTTTTCGAATGTTTGATTTTAATCTCTATCGTATTTTGATACGTTTGAGGACAACAATGGACGACGATGACGATGACGACGACGACGAGTATGACGACATAAATTATTATTTTTCATCCGTTATTAAAATTTTTTTCCAGTTCATTTATTTTAATCAAACCGTCAATTGTTAGAAACGATTGAATTATCATCATCATCATCATCATCATCATCATCATCGTTATCATCATTATTATCATCATTATTAGTTTTTTTTCCCAAATAAAAAAAAAAAAAAAAATGAGCAAATTCAAAGAATGACATTTAATCGATTCAAATTTAAATTCGTTAACCGCCAAAATTTTACCCGTTCAACAAAGTCATAGAGTAAGAAAACAAAAAAATAAATAAATTTACCGCCTTTTTTCTCCCTCATCCTGAAGAGAGAAAAAGAAAAAAAAACATTTCCTTTTAAAATTTCACTTAAAATTAAAAGGAAAAAAACATTTCGATGAATATATTTTCCCTTTTTTTTTTTTTTAACGACGGCGTAATAATAATAATAATAATAATAATTCGTAGGCCGAAGTAAAAAAAAAAAAAAGGGGGTTTTTCTTTTTTTATAGACTATAAAAACTATAACTTACCGACGTTAAAAGAAAAACTGGTCCATTAAAAGCCCAAACGTAATTTGGAGTTTTTAACCAGCATCTTAAAAAAAAAAAAACCATTATAATAAAATGATTTATGACGTCATTAACAAAATAAATATATATATATATAATTACAATTCGTCTTGACCGTATGGTTGTTCCCTTGATAAAAAACCAACTAATTCGGTAACTATAACTATTATAAATGGCATACCGTAACCGATCAATAAATAAATAAATTTAAATTCGATATAAGATTCGAAAACTAAAACCAACATCCGGTAAAGATGACATCCTTCGATGAACATCCAAGCAAAAGCAGCCATAAATGCATAATGTAACAAAATGGCGTAAACCGTACACCAAACCTGTAATATTATTTAATTTAAATAAACGATCACAACCATGCATCAAATTGCCTGGAAAATTTTAAATTCTTACGTCATTAATATAAAAAAATCTTTTATCCATGACTGTTAT